TTTCTTACTTTGATCATCATTTAAACATATTTAAATATTTACAATGTAATAACAATTTATATAGTTTTATTCAGGAAAATTCACAGATTCTTCCCGTGTAAAAAGCCACTGAATAGCTGCTACGGTAAAAGCACAAAAAATTTCCAAAGTTGAAAATTTGCAATTTTTTTTAAAATTAATTTTCTCAAAAACTGTACGTCCTAGAGGAAAACGGATTTCAGATTCGTATTCAGCTCGCAAAAATCTATAAGAATTTCATAGTAGCCGTTACGAAATCCAAAAAAAGTCAAAATTTGTTGTACAGTGTTATACATAGTTCAGATATAATTACTGGTTTTGAAGATGGCGTTAATTCTAGAAACAATAAAGCCAATTAGATATATTACCGTGATTATGGCAAAAGACATGAAAAAAGCTGGACCCAACGTTGAGCGTATACATTACACGGTATGTCGAACTTTGTTCACTTAAATATCTTGGTTATTTCGAAATATGAAAAAATGTTACTTACGAAAGTTATAGAGTTTAAGAAACTGCATAATGCGACGTAAAATGATGTTCTTGTAAGTGGTGGTGTGGGAAAATATAGCAATAATTTTTGTGTTTTTAAATGGAATGCCTAATTTTTTTATGCTCGATTGCAATAGATTAGCATGTTTTCAGTATAAAAGCACTAAAATGCATCTATTTTCAAACTTATCGTTGCTTAAATATTTAAGTTTTTTATGAAACGTGTTCGGAATGCCGGCAGCTACACAGCGTCGCAATTTTGAATACGCTCTTTAATAAAAGTAATTGAGTGAAAATAGTAAAATATCTTGGCAATGATCAGTTTTAGGATAAATGCACCTTAATGCTTCTTCGAAAATTATTCTGCACCCTACGCGTGTTCCACATGCTCTTTTATAATGAAAATAAAAGTGAAAATCCGCAGTTTGTCTTTCACTTTTCAAGGCTACGCAAGTTATTCCATGTTAAACACATATAATTTTTAATTACTTATTTAGATATTAATTAATAAAGTAAATATATTCATTAAATCGTTAGTAATAATTTTAATTAATATTTAGTGATTTTAAATATTAAGCTATTCTAATCTTATTTAGTTACTGCGTGCGCATCTTGCAGAGACGTAGGCTAGCGTTAAAGCTCGCGATATTTTAAAATATTACGTACAATGCTTTAAGATTTTTAATTTCTTCAGATCGACAAAAGAATATATTAATTCGATTATTAATAATTTATTTTAAGTTGTTATTAATTAATTTTGTATATTTTAATTTATTTAATAATTATTTAGGAGGTATGTATTATCGATTAATTAGCTACGTACGTATGGTAATTGAATTGTTTTATATAAAAAAAGAAAAACGCGATTGATAATTGAGAAGAAAAAAATTGCAGTAAAAGAAATAAAATTTGCATGAAGATTCTTCATGATGAATCTTCTGGGATATTACATAGACTCTCCATTCCAGTTACCAATACGTACATATGCGAAACAATTGATGAATTCCACAATGCTACATTCAATACATTACCAGTTACTGCAGAACAAGTCGCACAAGCGTGTTGTAATAAATACAAGTACATTGCAAGACAAAGAATTGTCAAAATGATTAAAAAACATCCGAAGAAGACAGAGGAACCTGAAGACCAATAAATTCCATTTAGTTCCATTTACAGAATTTACATTTTTCAACGACGTGATGTTTAGAAATCATAAAGTAGTTATTCCATCAAAATTACAGAAAAATATATTATAGGAATTACATTCAGGACACTTTGGCGTGGTCTGAATGAAGCACTTAGCCAGAGGATACTTTTGGTGGAATAAAATCGATAACGATATCGAAAACTTATCAGAAATTATTTCGAATGTGATACATATAATCTAATTAAAGTTACAAATCATTTGGGAACCAACTAACATTCCATTTGAACGAGTATATGCAGATTTTGCAGCACTAAATTTTTAGAGCATTGCTTCTTTGTTTTAGTAGATTTGTACACAGTTAAGAATTATAAATTCACAGAAAGTGTTTATTTCGAAAAAGTTTACAGGTTTCCTAAAGATAAATAGAATTACACAAAAGGTCACAGCTCCATACCATCCCGCCACAAACGGATGTGCAGAGTATTTCGTACAGATAATGAAAGTGGATCGTCAGCATTACAACGGTTGTTAACTCACTAGAGGAATAGTACACGATATGGGAACACGGGAATTGGAACTGGAGAACCAAATTGAATTGTCAGTTTAACAGCGTTCGTTACTTTAAATAAATTAAGAAAATTTTATTTTGAGTATTTGAGTGCTACAGAGCTACAAAGTTCGAAATTCTATAATTTGGGGGTTTGGTCATTTAAACGTTTGATTAGTTGGAGTTTGGGAACATTTAATCTAGAAATTTGAAAATTTGAGACTTGACATTTCAGTAGTAGACCTGCGAATTAATAGTTAATTTGGAAATTGCATATTTCAAGGTTTATAGATTTGAGAATTTGAAGTTTGGAGATTTTAAGGCCTGAAGGTCCAGAAGCTTGAGATTCTGAGGTTAGTGAATTTTGGAATTTCATAGTTAAGAAACTCCAGAATTTAAGTTTTTAAAACTCGGGTATTCCGAATTGTTCAAACTTTCAAAATTTGGGTATGCGGAGAATTTGAAATCTAAGACATTGGTATGTAGGTGTTCGAAAGCTCAAAAATCTTAAAATTGGAGAATGTAACAATTTGAAGACAATTTGTAACAATATGTAGAAATTTGAAAATTTGAGATATAAATAATTAAATTTAACTCTGGAATTTCACAGTAATAAATTTGCAGATTTCTTCTTGTCTTAACTATCAACCGTGACACACTTACAGTTATTCTGATTCGTAGGAGACTGATCAAGGGCCTGTCTACGGCCCAGAACAATGGTTGTAAACCAATTGGCCATACACCAATGGCCACCGAGCCTCATCCGCATATTTGAGCGGTAGGAACTGTTAGGGTGAGCAGTTATACACGACAATAGAGGCAAAGAACAAGGATGGTGGGTTCAAGGTGGGTTAGGAGGAGAGTTCCTTAAATCAGAATCAGTCAGAGTTTCGGTTATCCATTGTACACTCACGTGCCTCTAACAATGTGCTATCATACTCCGACACACGTTTGAGCATTTTTATTGGTACTTACTTGTTATTGCTCTTTTTCTTAATAAATTTTCCCTTCGCACTTCTTTGTTAAAACAAAGAGTTTATTAAGTATGTATTCTTCTAACGTTCGTTATTCTGCAAACTTTAAAATAGTAACCTCGACTTTCGTTTTGTTAAAATTATAATACTATATACTACACAAAAACATAATACCATAATACTATTTTGAGTTCGGTGCACTAACCAGAAACCCAGAGTGCAATCGCTGGACGTTCTATCACACCTGAATTAATTTGCACCGCTGACATAAAATGGCTTCCGTGTAGGCCATCGTGTGCTCGCGAGAGATAAGTGTTTAAAGTGAAACTTCTTCAGCTTTTAGCCACGCAACCTGTTATCACACACGATCAAAAACTTAATTAATTTCAATGTGGTTTTTCTGTTACTGATCTGTTCGTACTGATTTAGGTTTTAAATAACAGTTTAACATTTTAAAATTTAAGCTGAATAATAAGTGGTTGTTTTGTAAAATGTGAGTTGTATTCGAATTTGTGAATTTAAATGTTTCGAATTTCCAAGTTGCGTTTTGTAAAGTGATGTAAAAATTGAAAATAATGTAAAGACTGTGCGACTGATGTAAGAATACAAGAATGCAAAGACAAAGAGATTCTTGTAAAACTGCGAGAATGTAAAGATATCGAGATTGTCGTAAGACTGCTTCCTGTAGGACGAGCTCTTGAGGAGGAAAACTGGAAAAATGGGACGGTTGTCCTGATTGGTTCTTGTTTTACAAATAACGTCGTTTAAAATTGGACATCATGCTACCCCGTGCGTCCTTAGCGCTCCTAGGTCCTGTCCCAACATCTGCAATTAACTGCTGACACCGTCGAGGGAACTTGGACACATAAATTATAAATTTAAAAAGATAAGAGGACTCTCAAAAGCAGCTATGCTACTTGCATGCTATAAACGTTCTAACAACGTGCAGGCCAAATGTTATTCCAGTGTACAAATTGCAAGCTGTCTTCGTGACTGTAACGAACTCCATCGTATACCTAACGTCTTGTTCACGAGAGATGTTTCTTAAAGGAGAAATTTTTGTTTTTATCCTGTTAAACATCCTCCCCCGTTGACAGGATGTCGATCAACCTTTAAATGTGTTAAATGTTATGTGTTTTAATGCCTAAATATCTATATTAAGAGTAAATATGTTAAAGTACAAAAATAAATGTATATATATGTATAAATATTATAATAAAAGAATGCCTTTAAAGTGATGTGATAAAACTGCAACAGTTCAGCTCCGTTTAAGGATGCTGGGTTGACATTATTACCGGGTTGACATTACTATGATATTACTACTGGGTTGACATTACTATGTGAGTTCTTTGGGCTGATAGGGTAAAGGAGCAAGTTTCTTCGTAATCCGATAGAGTACGCCGGTTGTTGTTTTAACTGTGACTGCGCGGACAATACCGTCAGAGCTGGGGAGAAGATTTGTAACCCTACCTAAGGCCCACTGTATAGGAGGAATGTTATCTTCCCTCAAAAGAACTATCATGCTCTCCTTAATTGAATGATTGTCCTTGGTCATTTTGTGCGCCGCACAGTGGCGAAAAACGTCGAAAACGTGGATAAAAGTCAAAAAATGAAAATCGCAATTCTTGAAATCTGTTTAGTGAAACTAGTTTATAAGGAATCTATACATAATGTTCTCGCACTTTTAATGATTTTATTATCATTTCGCCTTCATAGTTCGACATTTTTTAAAGTCAATTTTTCCGGGCAAAGTTTAATATAATGTTGTTCATTATTTTTTAAATATTATGTTCATCCAGTATTATTACCTTTTTATATGATACTTTAGTATTATAATTAAGTAAGTTGCACAACTAAATGTTTATTTTTAACACTGATATGGAAAGAGATATAAACCATAGATATATTTAATGTTTATATAAGGTAAAAGTTGTGATCTTCACCTCGGTTCACCTGCCAAATAGGCTTAAATAAAAGTTGAAAGCTTCCCGAATAAGAATCCGTAACGATATCTTGCGGTTGTATACTATACAACTGGCCAGCTGGCCATGCAATCGGCCACCTCCGCGACTTCAGTCCTTGAGGAGGAGAACAGGCTCCTCCGCAAGAGGCTGGAGAAATTGGAGGCGGACCTCCGCCGTCTGCGTCAGAGGGTGGAGGCCGAGCCATGGGAAAATGTTTCCCCGGTTGTGGCTCTGGCACCGGCTGAGCAGGCTGGTGTGCCACACAGGGTGTCGGCGGACACGTCGCGCCCTACAGCAGCGATAGCCCCACCCTCGGTGCCGGTGCCTGCGGCGGCCGCCCCTCAGGTGGACGTTGCGACGGCCGATCAGCTGCTATTGCGGCTAACGCAGCTGATCGACGACCGTTCTGTCGCGATGCGCGCGGAGATTCTG